GAATTCCCTTCTGGCTCGATGCTTTCCAACCAATTTTAATTTCCACCCAAATTTAAATATTAATCTCTTCCTACTGTTTTCCTGGTTATTCTTTCCGCTTCCCACTCATTATAAATGTTTCTGTTTCCAATTCTTCCACAACATATAACCCCTTGTGTCTTAGTGGCTTTTATATCTCTCTCTCTCTCTCTATATATATATATATATATATATATATATATATAAATTTATATAACCTGTTTAACAAATAGCCCAATCATCAGATTCATAGTAGGAATAATTAACTACAAACATGCATACAACATAACACCCTTCATAATCCATAGCCTAAATTAGTAGTTTAAATACCTTACATATAAGATAACCCTTTATAAAGTCGTCAAAAAACAAACGTTACGAAAGTTTTCTTTTTTTTTTTATATGCACAATTCCCTTTCATAATAAAATAAAATAAAATAAAATAAATAAATCTCCATAGACAAGCAAATTAGACGATGGCCAATACATCTTCCGTTTCATTTTTGACACCCCCACCTTTCCCCGACTTGACACCTTGAAAGTATCTCTATACCGCTACTTATTATTAACACCCTACACTCGCCTACCCAATTTAGACAATTCGCCCTAGCTGTTACTATGGGGATTTTGATTTCAATTTTTAAAACAAGTAAATTTCAGATATACGTTATTCCAACAATAATTTCGCTTGAAGATGGAACGGAGCCCATTTTTATTTTTAATTTAAACTCAATTTAATTTAAAGGATTATATTGAAGTTTTCGGCTCTTGTTTTGAAACATGAGATCTCTTATGTAGCGATTTGGAATCATATTTTTAAATAAATAATTATATATATATATATATATATATATATATATATATATATATACACTGGATTATATATCTTACTGTTCTTTCTTTATATATACATACATACATATATATATATATATATATATATATATATATATATATATATATATATATATATATTAGGCAATCATAGAGATGAAAATGATATCTTATATATTATACAGTCATCTCCATAAAGCTTCAAAATTCCAATTTGTTATGAGATTTATTTGGATCGTCGATTTTTATGCTGATAGTTCTCCAACGCAAGCCCCAAGATCCCCTCACCGTGGTGGGCTTCTGGGTGTGACTGTTCTAAGAGTGAGGGGCGTAAGAAGTCCACATTACAAGGACATGTACGATAGATATCGGTTGGCACTGGACTTTTCAATATAAGTAGATAGGTTCTTCAATCGCCTGGTTCACGTCTTTTCATCAGGAGTAGAGGTTATCTCCTCTTGGGATTGGGTTTTCGGTTCCTTCTCATAAAGTCTTCCCATTCTCATTCTCTTCTCTGGAATCCTAGTGGCATTATTATTGCCTTGCTTGGGGTGAAATGAGTATATATATATATATATATATATATATATATATAAAATTTCAACTTTTGAGAATAAATATGCACACAAGTTGAAATCAATTAAGATATTGGATTTTGAAATATCTAAACTGAAATCATGCTACTCTTGATGTAATAAAGTAACAAGTCATCGAAAGGGAGTTCCACAGGCAAAAAAAGTAACTATTAGATTGAACACACGGTTGCATTTAGCTAGTTCAACGGTTAAATTATGTGATGGTCCAGGTTAGGACCAAGGAAGAACAACACGAACACAAGAGTAGAAATAACGAAGGTATATTACATGAAATAATAATACAAGATGTGGAAGGTGTTAGTATGACTGTCAGTCTGGTTTGGAGTGAACTACTATCGGCTCGACTCGATTCGGTATCTAGCCCCCCCCCACGAGGGTTGCACGTGGCACAAGGCCGAGTTTAACGTGGGTTTCCCGAGCCCGTAGGCTCGGCCAAAAAAATCCCGTAGAACCCGTATAAACAGGATCGTGTTGGTCAACCTCCCCGAACGAGACTCTGCCCTTCGGCGGAGCCTCGTCCGGGTTCCTCACTGCTCAGAGGCAGAGAGTTCGACCGTCAAGCCGAGAAGCTCGGCTTGATTCGGCATCTAGCCCCCACGAGGGTTGCATGTGGCACAAGGCCGAGTTTATCGTGGGTTTCCTGAGCCCGTAGGCTCGGCCAAAAAATGCCCGTATACCCCGTATAAACGTGTTCGGGATGGTCATTTCCCCGAACGAGATTCTGCCCTTCGGCGGAACCTCGTCCGGGTTCCTCACTGCTCAGAGGCAGAGAGTTCGACCGTCAAGCCGAGAAGCTCGGCTTGATTCGGTATCTAGCCACCCCCCACGAGGGTTGCATGCGACACAAGGTCATTTTTATCGTGGGTTTCCTGAGCCCGTAGGCTCAGCCAAAATATGCCCGTATGACTCGTAAAAACGAGATCAGAGTCATTTCTCCCCGAACGAGACGGATCGTCGGGTTCCTTCTGCTCAAAAGCAGAGGTTCGACCGAAGGTCATTCACCCCCCCCACGAACGAGATTCTGCCCTTCGGCGGAACCTCGTCCGGGTTCCTTTCTGCTCAAAAGCAGAGAGTTCGACCGTCAAGACCGAAAAGATCGGCTTGATTCGGTATCTAGCCCCCCCCACGAGGGTTGCATGCGACACAAGGTCATTTTTATCGTGGGTTTCCTGAGCCCGTAGGCTCAGCCAAAAATATGCCCGTATAACCCGTATAAACGAGATCGGGTTGGTCATTTCTCCCCGAACGAGACTCTGCCCTTCGGCGGAACCTCGTCCGGGTTCCTCACTGCTCAGAGGCAGAGAGTTCGACCGTGAAGCCGAGAAGCTCGGCTTGATTCGGTATCTAGCCACCCCCCACGAGGGTTGCATGTGACACAAGGTCGTTTTTATCGTGGGATTCCTGAGCCCGTAGGCTCAGCCAAAAATATGCCCGTATGACTCGTAAAACGAGATCAGGGTAGGTCATTCACCCCGAACGAGATTCTGCCCTTCGGCGGAACCTCGTCCGGGTTCCTTTCTGCTCAAAAAAGAGAGTTCGACCGTCAAGCCGAAAAGATCGGCTTGATTCAGTATCTAGCCACCCCCACGAGGGTTGCATGCGACACAAGGTCATTTTTATCGTGGGTTTCCTGAGCCCGTAGGCTCAGCCAAAAAATATGCCCGTATGACTCGTAAAAACCTGATCAGGGTGGGTCATTCACCCCGAACGAGATTCTGCCCTTCGGCGGAACCTCGTCCGGGTTCCTTTCGCTCAAAAACAGAGGAGTTCGACCGTCAAACCGAAAAGATCGGCTTGATTCAGTATCTAGCCACCCCCACGAGGGTTGCTAGCCACCCACGAGGGTGCGACACAAGGTCATTTTTTCATCGTGGGTTTCCCCTGGGCCCGTAGGCTCAGCCAAAAAATATGCCCGTATGACTCGTAAAAACGAGATAGGGTAGGGTCATTCACCCCGAACGAGATTCTGCCCTTCGGCGGAACCTCGTCCGGGTTCCTTTCTGCTTAAAAGCAGAGAGTTCGACCGTCAAGTCGAAAAGATCGGCTTGATTCAGTATCTAGCCACCCCCCACGAGGGGTTGCATAGACACAAGGTCATTTTTTATCGTGGGTTTCCTGAGCCCGTAGGCTCAGCCAAAATATGCCCGTATAACTCGTAAAACGAGATAGGGTAGGTCATTCACCCCGAACGAGATTCTGCCCTTCGGCGGAACCTCGTCCGGGTTCCTTTCTGCTCAAGAGCAGAGAGTTCGACCGTCAAGTCGAAAAGATCGGCTTGATTCAGTATCTAGCCACCCCCCACGAGGGTTGCATGCGACACAAGGTCATTTTTATCGTGGGTTTCCTGAGCCCGTAGGCTCAGCCAAAAATATGCCCGTATAACTCGTAAAAACGAGATAGGGGTTTCCTGGGTCATTCACCCCGGCGGAACGAAATTCTTCGATTCTGTTCCTCTTGCATGAACCTTTTTATCGTTCCTTTCAATGCTCAAGAAGAGAGTTCGACCGTCAAGTCGAAAAGATCGACCGTGATTCAGTATCTAGCCACCCCCACGAGGGTTGCATGCGACACAAGGTCATTTTTATCGTGGGTTTCCTGAGCCCGTAGGCTCAGCCAAAAATATGCCCGTAGAACCCGTAAAAACGAGATCAGGGTAGGTCATTCACCCCGAACGAGATTCTGCCTTCGGCGGAACCTCGTCCGGGTTCCTTTCTGCTCAAAAGCAGAGAGTTCGACCATCAAGTCGAAAAAGATCGGCTTGATTTGGTATCTAGCCACCCCCCACGAGGGTTGCATGCGACACAAGGTCATTTTTATCGTGGGTTTCCTGAGCCGTAGGCTCAGCCAAAAATATGCCCGTATGACTCGTAAAAACGAGATCAGAGCAGGTCATTCACCCCGAACGAGACTCTGCCCTTCGGCGGAACCTCGTCCGGGCTCCTTTCTGCTGAAAAGCAGAGAGTTCGACCATCAAGTCGAAAAGATCGGCTTGATTTGTCCCTCTCTCTTGAGAGGCGTAGTATACATAGTGTTAGGAAGAGTTCATTCTGTACTTATAGGTAAGGACCCATGACATTATGAGACCTATTTTTTTGTTGTCAACTAAGCATTCCATCTCAACAGTTCTATGGAAAAAGCTCTCTGAGTGGAACTTTTACACGAAGGGAATAGGAATCATTTGTCACCGTGAACATGGCGCAGCATTAGGTGGTTTATTATAGACCAATGATCTAAGCTTTATGGAGATGACTATTTATTATACAAAAATTAATTCTAATCGCTAGCTATGATGAACTGAGCTGGTGGAACTAAGTAATTTAACTCGTTCGAAGCGATACCATAGTAACATGCTGGTAACATTTCGTACGTGGAATAAGGATTGCAATTTGGAGATTAATTTATCACCCACAAGGCCGCATAAGCGCTTTTGAACTCTATCGAGGTTGAACAGCGAGGATTAGGCCGCACCAGCCCAGATATGGCAGTGATACTCCATTCTTGGTCTGATCTTATTCTTGCAAAGATAGAGCATGGCAGAGGAAGTTAAGTATTTCATAGATAGATAGATAGATAGATAGATAGATAGATAGATAGATAGATGTACTGCGTGTGACAGGTGAATACGAAGATTGTTGGCAACATTTCTTATGTGGAATAAGGATTGCAATTTGGAGAATAATTCATCACCCCCAAGACTGCATAAGCGCTTTTGAACTCTTTCGAGGCTGGACAGTGAGGATTATCTGCCCAGATAAGTCAGCAATATTGGATAGTGTGATAGACAGACAGACAGACAGATGAAAAGTGCGTTACAGATGGATATGGATAGTGTGATAGACATATATATATATATATATATATATATATATATATATATATATATATATATTAAGCGTTTCACCCCAAGCAAGGCGGAAAGCCACTAGGACGCAAGGGGTTACAGAAAATTTGGAGCAAGTTCAGAGAGGAGTGATAGAAGAAAGGATGAGGAGAAGAGAAGTGGATAGTTCAAGGCAACTGGAGATACAGAGGCCAGTGAGAGAGAGAGAGAGAGAGAGAGAGAGAGAGAGAGAGAGTACCGGAAACTCCTTCCTAAACAAGAAACAAGGCGTAAGCCTCTACTCATGTCCAAGAGAAGGGAGAGGAGTGTTGACCGGGCGGTAGGAAAGCCTACCTACTCCTATAGAGCGTGACAGAGTGATATGAAGAATGTGATAAATTGATGTAAAAAGCGTGATAGATAGATAGATAGATAGATAGATAGATAAGATAGATAGATGCACAGAGCGGGATAAATGAATATGGATCGTGTCATAGATAGATAGATGTTCAGAGCGTGACATATGCATATGAAGAGATAGTAGATAGATAGATAGATAGATAGATAGATAGATAGATAGATAGATAGATAGATGCACAGAGCGGGATAAATGAATATGGATCGTGTCATAGATAGATAGATGTTCAGAGCGTGACATATGCATATGAAGAGTGTGACAGATAGATAGATAGATAGATAGATAGATAATGTTCACTTCTCTATCTGCTTCGTGTTCAGACAATTCTACAAATTTGTGTAAATAACATTACGCATGATTTCATGCAGATACTGAAAAATATTATAAACACTGGAATACGGCAAAATAGTAAAAATATAAACATATTTGAGGATTAAATTTCATGAAAAATAAGACGAAAATCTTAATTTGATGCTGTTTGCCAGATTAAACTTTGTCATTATCTTGAAGTACTGAAGGGCAAAAATAAAACAAATGATATATATGCAAACAACCCCGACACAATCAGGCACTCTTATGTGCGTGTGTAGATATGCGCATATCGATAAAATATATCAAATTATATTTACAAGCAATATATATATATATATATATATATATATATATATATATATATACCATTACATCCATAATTTGTAATTGCTGTGTCTCCAAAGATAAAATCTGAACGAAAAATATAGAAAAATGCCTTAGCAACAATTTTTCTGTTTACTCAATTTTTTTTTCAAATCCAGAAAATCAGAAGCAAAAAAGAATATACATTAAAACCTAATGGCAAAACAATATAAACAATGCAAAATTAACTTATAAAAATACACGCGCACACCTACTTCACCCCCAAAGAAATTATATTTTGCCGCCCTGACTGGCATCCATGTTGTCTACTTTCAAAAGAATATTGACTTTTCTCTTGTTTTAGATTGTCAGAAGAAACAATATGTGAGATAATCGTCGCTTCTCTCGTCCTTTGGCACTACCATGACGACAGATAAATATTATTAAAATATTTGTGTATTACCGTGGAAAATAACAGGCTTATTCAGTCATACGATAATAATATGTACTTTTGATACGTCTCTAAGGATATGTTCAGTGTGTGGCGCTTGAAATACAAGGAAGTGCCGAAAAGTTCTCAGCCTGACTACAACGCCTTACAAAAAAAAAAAAAAAAAAGAAAGAAAGATTTTATGATTATTTTTTGATTCTGGCATATTCTTGGGAATGGGTCGCTATGAACATCACTCGTCTATTTCTGAGAAAATGTTGCACAAAGAAATGTATATAGGGAGGCGATATACACATTTTTGTATATCAAGAAGAGTTTTAGGGACATCTAAGACATACTGGAAAAAGTTTTCGTGCGACGCATTTCGTCATTTAGGACTTCATAGGACTAAAGTGAAAAAAAAATAATTTAAATTTCTCAGCGTCCCCTCTCCGTAAAAACTACTTTAGTCCGATAAAGTCTGAAAGGACAAAACGCTTAACAAGAACACTTTCTTCCCCTCATATATATATATATATATATATATATATATATATAGAGAGAGAGAGAGAGAGTCATCCCCATATATATCAATATCTATAATTCTCAAAAATGTGTGTATGTATGTATGTGTTATCGGATGTTGTTTATGCATTTCTACAGTTTTCATCCGATTTCGATTAAATTTATTTTTGTTTAAAAGATAATTCTTCAGTGCCGGTGTTGAGTCCAAATTTTGCCGACAATGGCTCTCCACTATTTCCTGTCCATTATAACTCTCAGTAACGTTCTATTATTTATTATCTGTTGGTGGATATATGTCTTTCATGAAAACTTTAAGAAAAATAAATAGTTTTAATTATTACAATAATATTATTCATTATTATACAGTTCCCTTTTCAGAGCCAACTCCAATTCAAATTTTTTCCCACCAGACCCCAATTTAGGGATATGCCTCAGCTGCACCCAAATGTCGTTACTAATATTCATTTTCGGGTAGGCTGACTTTAAATCCTCCAATGGAACGGTAAAAATTCCCAGTAATGAAAGAACCGATGAAAAACGGGTTAAACTGCTAGTATGCATAAATATATATTTACATATATATAAAGTCATCCACAGACAGACTGTTTCGCAGCTCTTCAGTGTATCTAGCTAAGATCGAAACCCGACTGAATTGGCGTCAGTCCGAGATTCTACCACTAAGCCGTCAGCAGGGATGAAGGTGAATTTCAGCGTATTTATTTTTAAATAAACACACACAGTGACCGACAGTGACTCAATTCACTTTCGCCGAAGAGTCTCGCTATACCAGCTATAATAGTCACTGTTTACAAACCCACACCTCTTCCCCAGAGAGCTCAACTGAAATTAATTTTTTTCAGGAGCCAATAAAGTCATCCACAGACAGACTGTTTCGCAGCTCTTCAGTGTGGCTAGACATCCGATTGCCTCTAACTAGGATCGAAACCCGACTGAATTGGTGTCAGTCAGAGATTCTACCACCAACCCATCGGTTATATATATATAGTCACCCACAGACAGTTTCGCAGCATATCAGTGTGGCTAAAACACTTCAAGCCGGGATCGAAACCCGCCCGATTTGGTATCAGTAGATTCTAACCCCTAGGCTATCGACATCCGGCAGGTTATATATAGGAAGGCAGAGAAAGGCGAGGTTATATATATATATATATATATATATATATATATATATATATATATATATATATATATATATATATATATATATATATATAAAACCTCGCCTTTCTCCCTGCCGGGTTTCGATAGCCTAGGAGTTAGAATATGATATGTAAAAGATATATTTTTAGGTAGCAGGCATTTATCCAAACAAGTTCGATTAAAAAACGTATATCTACTTAATATTTTATTATATTTTTAAAATTTTGGATGCGTTATTGAATATTCTGCTTGTAGTCGTAAGTAAATTATTTGAAGATCATATTTTGTTATTTTCGTTCAAGACCTTCCGACTGTCACAGTCATTATCAAGAACCAATGTGGTGTCTGTGTAGTTCTTTATAATAAATGCAATAATCGAAAGTCAGTTAAGCTGGGCGATCATGTCTCTTTCGATTCATGATTGACTAGGCAGATTTTCTTGCAGTAGGTTCCGTTTCTGTAGTGGACTGTTTGCAAAAGAATGTTATAGAACACAATCTATCCTGCTATTCAATCAATCCTTTGGGTTGGGTGTTGGATAGAAGAGACGGATTCATATCTTTCCCAAGGATATTTGCGCGTAGCTGAATGTTACGAATCCAACTTCAATTCGAACTCGATTCTGAGATTTCGCATTTCGAAAATACTTGAACAAAAATCTCAATATATGAACTTCGGATAGTTTAGCCACAATTTCTAGCAGAATTTTTTTTTTTATATTTTTCCAATTTTCGGATAAAGTGTGAACACTTTATCCGAAAATTGGAAAAATATAAAAAAAAAAATTAAACAGACAGACCTTTTCATTGTTTTTAATCAATCTATATGTGTGTATCTATATATGTGGATTGTCTGAACATTTCTCAATTCAACCCCCTTCCAAATAAAAAAAAAAAATTCCCTTCCTGTTAGGGGCAGGAAATTTTAAGCACCATCCCAGGCAAAATCTGACCGAACAAACGTTTTTCTTGTAATTTCTTGGTTTTGAAAATTCAAACAAAACAAGACGACACCAAACTGCCAGCATTTTTAGGTTCATGTTATCTATGATATCGCTACTGCCTTAGCTCCTGAAAAATCATTTTCATTTGAGGACTTTTGCATATTTTTATACTTGGTTGAGCCCTTTTTCAATTCTGCTCTCATATTTTCTTAGAAAAAAACAAAAAAAAAACACTATTTTGCATCAACATGGAATCAATACAATTTAACTACTCCTTAAAAATGAACCCACAACAAAACTTCACTAAAGAAAAATGCATAAAAAAGATAACACAAGAAATATAAGCAGTCAATTGCTCATACCCTCTGAAGAGTGTGCAGACGTGCACGTCTACGAAGCTCTGGAGTCGGGATGCTGATCAATCAGCTCAGTGACAAACTTTTACTTATATTAATTCTCTCTCTCTCGCTCTCTCTCTAACTCTCTCTCTCTCTAACTCTCTCTCTTTCTCTCTCTCTCTCTCTCTCTCTCTATATATATATATATATATATATATATATATTTGTAATAATATTTCGAGTTCGCTTTCCAGTCGAATCCATTAAATGCAGTTACATGCTAATACACTTGGGAAAGGTATTAATCCTCTTCCTCTACCTCCAGCTATGGGTAAATAGCAGGACAGTCTGGGTTCTATAGCATTGGATGGCAACTGGTCTAGGAGAAGGACAACTCTGAAGTCAAAACCTGCAGAAGGTCGTTTGAGGACCTTGTGGCACGTAGTGCACCAAGTCTCTGAATTCGGCACTTCAAAAAATGTGTTGGTTCTACACAAAGCCTTCACCACTATAATCAAATTATATGTGGTGGTGTCTGGCTGTCGGTCCCTAGGAATTGAAATGCTTGACCATCATACATCGAATACGACGGGAGAGTCT